CTATCTAATTACAACAATATTTCTCTTTCAAACTGTTTTTTATCAAAATAAATTGAGTTGAATATATAATAATTAATAAAAAATACCTTAGGCTTAATTTGAAAAATGATAGAGCAAATAACTGGTTTAATTCCAAAGTAACTAACTTTAAAAAAACCTACTGTTGAATTTTTCATTTCTCAGGTTCTTAATTCAAAAACCAATTAATATTAGAATTTCCTTTCATAAAATCCTAAAGATTGGCTAAGATGGAATTCCAAAATCTTACATATTTTCAACTAAAGAATATGCTTGGTAGTTTCACGCAAATGTTTTCAAAAGCCTGTGTGTTAGTCTAAAACATTTAACAAATTTGCTACTAAAATAACAGGGCATGAATGTAATCACAAAACGAGGTAACCAGCCGTGTCAGTAAATGCCCCCAAGGAAATGTGTTTTAAAAACAAACATAATTTCTGAGATTTAATACATAAAATGACATTTTTCTTCTCCTCCCTTCTCCATCTCAATTCTTATATTTACGGAGAACTTCCACTAACCTTTATATACGCACTTGGGTAAATCTTATGAACAGCATCTCCAGGTGCACGCCCAGCTTCTCTGTCTAAGTAGTAACTCTGTACAAAGACTGCATGGTCACTGAGGCACCTGACCCAAACATCACCTTCACCTTTACATTCCAATTGTACACCTTTGCCTATGTGCAACCTGAGGGAGAAAAAGGAAATTATATTTTATTTTGATAAGTATTAAAAAATACATATTAGAATACCCAATATTGAAAAATTAAAAAGAATTAAAAAGGACTTTATGTAACACCACAACCAAAAGATCGCCATTGTTAATTTTTTGTATATTTCCTTCCTTTTTAAATATCTTATTCATATATAAAAATGATGGGCATATATATAATGCTTAGTATGTATCAGAAATATTTAACATAAATTCTCACTGAACTCTCCCAATTCCATGACCTAAATATTAGTATTTTATAAATGACTGTCCAAACTGATAGCCACTAGCTACTTACTGTAAGTGACTATTTAATTTAAAAATAATTTGAAAATCAAGCTAATCACATGACTACATTTTAAGTGCTCAAAGTTACACGTGGCTAGTGGCTACAGTACTGGACAACACAGATACAAGCCATTCCCTTCATCACAGACGTTTCTATTAGACAGCAATGGCTTAGGGTCCAGGTGATTTACCAAAGACACACAGCTAGCGATAGAGCCAAGATTATGTATTTACACACACACATTTTCTTAGAGTTGAGATTACAAAGTACCTAACACTGTGTATGTTTTCCTATAATATTTCATCTTAAGCATTTACATTTGATAATATAAACATTTTATTAATATCTTAATGACTACATAAAAATAAAAGTTTATCAAATGTATTCAACCACTTCCCTTTTATTGTTTCCCAACATTATAAATAACATTTGCAGACCCATGTCTTCATTTTACATTATTTCCTTTCAATATATGTGTAGAAAACATGGTCTTGTTACTATTCAAAACAGGAATGTCACAAACAAAACTATCTTAAAGAAGATGTGGCACGATGGAATATTACGCAGCCACAAAAAAGAATAAAACCTTTCCATTTCTGACAACATGGGTATTATGCTAAGTAAAATAAGTCAGGCAAAAAAGACAAATATCATATGATTTCATTTATATGTGGAATTGAAAAACAAAACAAAATAAAAACATATTCTTAGAAACAGAGACCAACAGGATGGTTACCAGAAAGGAGG